GAGACAGGGTCTCCTTGTAGCCTCAGCTGTCCTGGAACTCACTATGTAGACCAGGCTGGCCTCGAACTCACAAAGATCTACCTGCCTCTGCCTCCCAAGTGCTGGGATTAAAGGCGTGCGCCACCACTGTCCCCTATATTTTTTATAAATTGAATTCTGTTCAAGAGTTGCATTTTGCAGGAATTAGCCTATGTCTCTTTTTAAGTTTATACTTTATATCCTTGATCATCTCTAAAGTCTTTGTGAGTAGGTTCAGTGCCCTTTAGCCAGTATTCATTTAAAAATTAAAATGTAAAATACAGGGACTGGAGAGATTGCTCAGAGGTTAAGAGCACTGGCTGCTCTTGCAGAGGACTAGGGTTCAGTTCTCACATGGTGGCTAACGATTGTCCATAACTTCAGTTCCAGGGAATTCAACACCCTCTTCTGACCTCTATGGGCATTGTACGACTTCAGTGCACTTACATACCTGCAGGCAATACACGTAAAATTTTTTTAAATTTTTAAAAATAAGTCATGCCCCTGATTACAAAAGCTAAATTATTCTCCCTTAGAAACATACTTTGAGGTTAGATAATACACATAAAATAAAAGTAATTTTTTTTAATCATGCCCCTGATTACAAAAGCTAAATTATTCTCCCTTAGAAACATACCTCGAGGTTAGATAAATGAGTTTGGATTGCACATTTAGCAGAGCTGGCAATTAGTAGATAGGGTTTGGGCAAAGGATAATATGTATAAAGTTAGGGCCATAGCTTAACTACAGCCTCAAAGTAAGACATAAATCACTTGCCACATTCATAAATTTGTCATTTATAAGAATGATTCATGTCATCTCTATACACACACACACACACAAAAAAAAAAAAATCAAAGTGGCCAGAGTATGTGCCATAAATGAAAGGGAGTGCTTGGTAACAGATTCTGGTGAGGGTAAGTACCAGTCTTCAAACATTACTATGATTTGTAGCAGAACTAGTTGTAATAAAAGAGGTAGTAGCATTAGTTTCATGGTACTAAAGTCCTGTGACAGAGTGCAGTGGAAGCCCCTCTGTGGACTTACTAAGGCTGGAACTTTAAAGACCCTCCTTCCATAATTAGTTGATCTTCCAGTCCACATTTCTAGTTTCTTTAGACAGCAGCCACTGCTGACTAGCTAACTCAAAGTGAATGCGTATTTATTTGCATTCTCCCTCTGCTTTGCAGAGGTCGGAGTTGGGGGAACTACTGTGTCTCTCAACTCCTAGTAGTTAGATTAGAGCCTGTGCTCCCAGCAGTGGGAGGCTCCTGGTTCACTTCTGAGAAGTGTTTCTGTAACAAAGCAGCCATACTATGCGTACAGCTTCTGCCCCTTGCCCCGACCTGAGATAAGCCCCTTTCCTCCTGCCCTCATGATGTGCAAAAAGTACTGTAACAGTATTGCAAACTGGAGGCATGATGCAGAGTGAGCAGCTCAGACTTGGGCTGCTTGTCAAGCCACTAAAGGGTTTTCTTAATTACACCAACATAAAATCTAAAATTTGGATTGTAGGTTATAAACTTAAAGGAAGAAAAAAGACTTTTCAAAAACAGGTGTTTTTGTAATAATAGTGTATATTTTATTAACAGCAAAAGTTAAGGAGCAAAAACTTTTTTCTTGAAAACAAAATAGAGGGGCTGGAAAGATGGTTCAGAGGTTAAGAACACTGGCTGTTGCAGAAGACCTGGGTTCGAATCCCAGCAACAAACGTGGCAGCTAACAACTGTCTATAACTCCAATTCCAAGGGATCTGACGGCCTCTTCTGTCTTCCTTGGGCATTGCATGACACAAGTGCACTTGCATACATACAGGCAATACATGCATACACATAAAAATACAATATTTTCTAAAAGAAAAGAAAACGGAATGGAGAATATTTAAACACCAAAACCTTTCTGAGGCTACTTTGGCCAAAGTATGATATAGAAAATATATGTAAACAAACTCAGGTTACTGTGGTGAAGTACCACAAACTGGATGGCTTCAATGACAGAAATTTATTTTCTCATAGGTATGGGGACAAGAAGTTCAAGACAGGTGTTGGCAAGGTAGGCTTCATTCCAAGGTCTGCTCTTGGCTTGGTAGCAGTTGCCATTTCCCTCCCTGCATGTTCAAGTGATCTCTTGCCTTTCCTCAGCTTTGAGAATTCAAGCACCATGATGTCTCTTCATTTTTTATTGATTTTGATGACTTCACACATGTATACAATGTGCTATAATCATATTCATCCCCCATTACTCTCTCATCCCCTTCACGCTGGTGGCCCCTGTGGTGGTGAATCTTGGTTGTCAACTTGACATACCTGAGAAGAGGGACCCATAGTTGAGGAATTTCCTCTATCAAACTGGTTTGTGGGCATGCCAATGGGGCATTTTCTTGACTGCTAATGGACCTAGAAGGGCCTCACCTTCTAGGCAGGTAGTAAAGAAAGGTAGCTTAGCAAGCCAAGGGAGGTGAGCCAGTAAGCAGCATCCCTCCACGGTCTCTGCTTCACTTCCTGCCTCCAGGTTCCTACCTTGAGCTCCTGCCCTGGCTTCCCTCGATGATGGTTCGTAACCTATAAGCTAAAATAGATCCTTTCCTCCCCAAGTTGCTTTTGGTCATGGTATTTATCACAGCAACAGAAAGCAAACTACAACAGCCCTGTTCTTCCCAACTACTCTTCCAGCTACTTTCATCTCTTTTTTTTTAACTCACTAAGTTTAATTAGAGTTGCTTATATGAGCACAGGTAGGGGGTTATTTGCTGGAGTATGGGCAAATTACCAGTGGCTACAACACTGCAGAAAGTGACTCCCCTGGCAACCATTACCTGTCCAAAGCTCCTCATGAACCTTTCCCCATCCATGACAGAATGTTGAAGGGCCAGCTCTTGTGCAGGTCTTGTAGGTAGCCACAGCTGCTATGTGTTCATGAGCACAATGACCACATCATATCCAGAAGATAGTGCTTCATGGCATTACTCCCTGTCCTCCAGCTCTCAGTCTTTCTGCCCCCTCTTATTCAAAGTTCCCTGAGGCTCTGAGGCAATGATATGATACCTCTTATTATAGGGAAACCAATCCAGTCATATCAAGACCTCACTCTTATGACCTCATTTAACCTTACTTCCTTAGAGGTCTTGTGTCCAAATAACAGGTATGGTAATGGTAAAGGCTTCAACACAGGGATTAGGGAAGGGATGAGGCAAGGATGGGTGAAAAAATATCCAGTCCATAATAGTGAAGTATGAACAACCATAAATGGTTGCTAAGGTATTTCTCAGTTCAAAAACTGATGACCTCATCCTTTATTTGTTCACTCAATGAGCATTCAGCATCTACTAAATGTTGGTACTGAACTATAAAAATTGTTAAGACATGGGACCGGAGGGATGACTCAGTGGTTAGGAGCACTGACTGCTCTTGCAGAGGACTTGGGTTTGATTCCTAACACCCACATGGCTGCTAACAACAGTCTATAATTCCAGTTCCAGGGGAATCTGACACCCTCTTCTGACCTCCATGAGCATTCTGGGTGGACCCACTTACACGCAGGCAGTATACTCATATACATAAAATAAAAATAATAAAATATTTTTTAAAAAAATTATTAAGACACCTGAACTCTTCAAG